TAATAATATTATATTGCGGATTATCCTACTTGTGTATTCAATAAAACAAAGCTATTGGCAAACGTCCTACACGTCCCGTTAAACTATGTTTAGATTAATGCTGTGCCATATAAACACAGATTATCAAAACCATAGATTATAAACTTAACTGGGTATCCGATACTGTAAATTAAATGAACCGATTAGTTTTAAGGGTTTTTATCGTTTCGATAGAGAATTAAGTTATATTATATAAAATGTTCTGTAATAGTAACAGTTTTGTCTACATATCAATAATTTTATAGATATTCGTATCTGTATAGGCACCAGGCACTTTAGTTTGTCAATGAATGACGTTTATTATTTCACAGAACATATATTTATACTTAGTTTTCTTTAGGACTTCCCATATGTGTTGCAAACAGTATGTAACCACTACGTTTATTGTGTTGTGTCCAAAGGTCTAGTATACCCATTGAGTATACCTGCAAAAAAGCGTGCATACCTACTTTCGACAGCCACAAGATGGCCGTCATTGCAAGGGAAGCACGGGGAAAACCATAAAGTATCGATATCAGTAGTATATTTCTATAAACTTTCATCACACGCGAAGAACTTTCCTCTTTTATTGAAAGAATACCGATCCTTTTTAATTTCAAATAATTGTATTTGATTTTCCTCACGCATCTCTTATCATCATCTTAAGAATGTTTATCGTTTAAGCTGAGTTGAGCAAAGCATGCGCAGCACTGCTGTGCCGCGTGCATGCTTTGCTTTGCATGCGTAACAGAACGTAGTAATTGCTTTTTTTACGAGTGTCCAAGGGGGATTACTTACCATCTAGTAACAAGTCTGCTCGTTTGCCGACCTTTGAATAAAATAGCTTCACATAAGTACCTAATAATCTATACCTACTAATATTATAAAGAGGTATTGCATGTAGGGGTAATCTTTGGAACCGCTGCGCTGGTCGGATTGCCAAAATTCTTTTATTGATAGATATTTACAATGGAGGGTTGTTGCAAATATCAGCATCAGCATACGCATTAATTATTCCTGATGTTCAAAGTTTTTGTTGCGACATGACCGGCGGTGGGCGGAGGTAATGGCATGGCGCTGTCGCTTCCGAGTTTTGGCCATTCAAAATACGCATATTTCATAACAAATCGTCAATCATTTCAAGCAAAGTGTATGCAGAGCGCATTGTTGGTATGTGTATTTATGAACCCGCTTGATTGGTGAAGAACAAATAAAAATATCTATAACAATCTTTCTACACTGCCTGGCTCGAAGATTCCTGTCACCTCCGCCTGCAAGCGTCCCTAGCGAATAGTTATTGAGCAGTGCCGGCATAATATACAAAATTACAAATCTACCCACAACAGACTGCAAGCAGAAAAAGTAGCTCAGTTGTTGTTTTTAAAATACAACTTGCCGCTTATAGAGTTCCATTAGGTATTAATAATATTTTACCTATTACTTAACTAGTTTTTACGTGTTTGTTGATTGTTTTCTTCATTGAAAAGTTACAGAATTATTAAAATAAGTAGATATATCTTTTTATTAAAAGTATGATGCAAAGATCGATGCAAATATAATACTTACTTGCCTAAAAAATTTATAAATTTGAGTAGGTACTTATTAAAAAAAACTTAAAATCAGCATCTGCAACAACCCTGCTACAATGTTCCTGTGTGCTATAGGCTACAACATGGCAAACATCACGCTACGATATAATGGAGCCGAGCAGCGGGTGAAACCGCGCGAGAGTAGATAGTAATCCATAAGGCATAGAGCCAGGGTAGTTGCTAGAAAACTCGGCGTTCTTGCAAAAGTCCGACGGTACTTCACACCGAGTCAGCTTCTAATGTTGTATAAAGCTCAGGTCCGATCGTGTGTGGAGTAGGTACTGCAGCCACATATGGGCTGGTGCTGCGAAATGCCACCTAGCGGCTTTGGATTCGGTGGAAAGGCGTGCAAAGAGGCTGATTGGAGATCTAGATTTGGTTGGGTCCAATATTCAAAGTCTCGAGCACAGGCGCAGAGTAGCCAGCCTTGCGGTTTTCTACAGGATGCATTTTGGAGAGTGTGCCTAGGAATTGCACGATTTGATTCCGCCATCCCAATTTCACCTTCGGACATCCCGGCGTACGGCGAATATCCACCCCTACGTTGTTGAGACACCTGCGGCCCGGACTAAGCGTTTTGCCTCGTCATTTATACCGCGTACATCGAGGGATTGGAACAGTTTGCCGGCTGCAGTCTTTCCGTCCGAATACAATTTAGGTGTCTTCAAGGCTAGAGTGAATAGGCTCTTAATAAACTAGTGCACCTTACCATCAACGATTGCATCACTGCTTAACATCAGGTGGGATCGCAGTCAAGCACTAGTTTATTGCAAGTAAAAAAAAAAGAGGCAGTTTGTGGCGAGCTATTCAGCAGTGGCGTCCCCATGGACCGGGCTCCCGGCCACTCACGGGAGGAGGGGCGAGAGGACACTGGCGTCAGACTCTTACTTCCTACTGATTAAAAACCACCCCGTTCCGTCTCCTAATCTAGGCTGAGGCCGCGGTGCCTCGTTGCGCTTACAACGCAACCCCGGCTAAGCATCAGCCCTATAAGGCCCCATCTGTGGTAGTTTATTCTTTTTATTGGCTCTTTGAGGCGAGCGTGGAACGCTACGCGCCGTTCGCTCGGGTCTGGTTCTGATCGGGCGGCAAGCTACCCTTACTCGCCGTCCACAGGCCCGATAGTTGTGCTCATGTAGGAATTTCTATAGTCTAAGATGGGCCAGTCACCAACTCTCTATACTTAGCAATATATCCATACGTATCATGTCTACCAACTCCATAGCATCGCATACCTAACTAAAACTATACCATTATTTACCAAATTTCACAATAGTATATAGGTACTATATAATAATATTATGATATATATAATAATTCGACAATCACCGGCTAATGTAGATTAGCCGGTGATTGTCGTTGGGTGAACTTTCATAGTGCACACAGGGATTTCACAGTGCACGATTCCAAAGGCTGATTTGCCAGCACATTTCAATTAAAATCGTTCACCGACCCTCTGCGAGTTACCTAGAGCCCCTCGTACGCGTTCCGGTGCGGATAATAATAAGTAATAATATATATCCGCAAGGCAGCTTGTGGCGAGCTGTTGGGCAGTGGCGATCCCACGGACCTGACTCCTGGGAGATGTCTTGTTTTTCATCTCCGGTTAGTCCTCGTGACGAGCTGGAGTGAAAACTGATGAAGAACAAGCCCTCCTACCTCATTCTTGCCTTAATTGGCTGGCTTCAGTGGAGATTCACAAGAGTAGGAGTTGAAGGAGACTCGGGGGAAGGATGTATCTCAGTAAGGTGCTGGTAGAGGTCTTGACCGTACTTCCGGGATTGCTCTGATAGATTTGGGATGCCTCTCCTTCCCCAAGCAGCTCAACGTATGTTGCCTCCGTGTCGCTACATGCTAGCGGCCGTTTCTGGGGGCCCATTAATTGAGTTTGCCAGTCACCCCTGCCTGTTTATCCGTATGTATCAATATTGGTCAGGGGCAGGGGCCATAGTAACTCCATAGTTATTATATCCACCAGTCCATAGCAACCCATACCCATAACCATATAAATTTTTACCACATTTCGCAATAGTCCTGCATCAACCGGGGATTGTCCTTGGGTGCACTTTCATAGTGCATACAGGGATATTTGCCGGCTGATGTCCCATCCCGTTTAGATTAAAACTGTTCAACGGGCCTCTGCGAGTTGGCTACGGCCCCTCGTACGTCTCCCAAAGGTCCGGCACCCTGTGGTCCCGTGATAGGAAAGAACAAGTAATAATATTTTATTACCGTAGCTAAGGTATAGTAAGTAGCTTGAAAATTTTCTACATTTTCTTACCGTCTAACTGCCATATCACAGTGATTAGATAATCCTTTTCGTAAAGAAAAGTACCTAATATGAAGGAAACAAGACGTGTTCCTACTATTAAAGAATACTTTGTCATACTTCGTGACTGTACAAAGAAACCTTTGTAATTGCAGGAATTTGATAGTAATTTAGGTGTACAAGATAGACCCAGAGACATGTTCTTTCTTAAAATAATATTCTTGGTTACAGGTTGTGCAAAAACATGTTAGCTCGTGTAATCATCCTGCATACTTAGACCGATAATCACCAAATTTCTTCAGTTGTTTTTACCTTACGATCTCTCGAGCCGGCGCGACCTGATGGTAGAGTGGAAGCAACGCCTGTCGCAACCTCGGGCCGGGGACGCTGTTATAACAGCGGTGAGACCCTCTTTAAGAAGAGTGGTTTGAAGGACGCCACGGCGTCCTCACCTTCCGCCTGATGCAGGTGTTCCTGTTTCCGATCCGGCGGAGAGTCATCATTGTGAAAACCACCCAGAGGACCCGGTGGAGTATATGGTGGCGGTGTGCTCTGCTTGGGCTGAGCAAAGCCGTGTTCTTAGGGAAGTGATCGGCGGTGGGACTGGGACGCCGTTTCCTCTTTCTTTTTTCTTTTGAAACAGTCATGCTCGCAAAGGAGGCGAACCGCGTGAGGGAGCTATTCTCCCTCTCAGCCGCCTCCATCTCCGCAAGCCACCGCAGCAGGCGACACTCCAGCTATTGGGGCACTCAGACAATCTCCGGCCACCACATAGAGGAAAAGTGGTTATATCCTCTAGGGGCCACCGTAATCACGGGTCTGCGGACGGAGAGCTGTAGGAGAGGGTAGCTCGCCACCCGGGCCTCAAAGAGCTAATAGACTACCACAGACAGGGCCCTACAAGGCTGATGTTCAGCCGATTTGCGGGGTAAGCGCAATGAGGCACCGCGGCCTCAGCCCAGAGCTTAAGGAACGGGTGAGGGGTGGGTAGGTAGAGTAGGGCAGGGTAGGTAGGGTAGGGTAGGTAGAGTAGGGTAGGTAGAGTAGGGTAGATAGTCAAATGACGGGAGCGACGCCGCGGGTAAGAGCTAGTAATATCATAAAAACGCAATAATATCATTATACAGCACATTTTATTGCGCGAAAAATATAGAAGACAGATGCGAAATAATAAACAACTATTAAATATGGAAACTCTCTATAGGTAAAGTCCCTCAGGTGTGCCTTCCTTTTTGCGATATAAGACACTCTCCTTTGATTTCTTGAAATCTTCATTGGTTACTTTCATGCGGCGTTCTCGTAACGCCATCAATCCAGCTTCGGTACAAATTGCCTGAAATGTGAGCATAGCATGAGCAAACTTGTAATTCATAATTCAGTTGAAATTCGATGGCATGTAGAAAAACCAAAGTATACCTTAATATCTGCACCAGACAGATCATCTTTAGACATAATAAGTTCAGATAAGTTGACATCATCAGCTAGTGTCATTCTTGATGTGTGAATAGTGAAGATTCTTCGCTTTGTTTTTTCATCGGGCAGAGGAAACTCGATTTTCCTGTCTATACGACCAGGTCGAATCAACGCAGGATCTAGTGTCTCTATGCGGTTTGTGGCCATGATTACCTGTAGATAACAAAGAACTTGTAAGTATAAATAAAAATGTAAACACATTTACATAAGCATAATAATATTAAGATCAACGTCAAGTCTCTTCTATCCAAAAGAGTGAGTACTTAACACCAAAAATTTAAGCTTTTTGCCTGTTTGCTGAGCTTTATGTATTTGATAACTTTTCTAGAACTAACTAACTAGAACTTTCCAAAGATTTTTAGAAGACAGATAAGGCAATGTTATACTTACTTTAACATCACCTCGTGAATCAAATCCATCAAGCTGATTAAGTAACTCCAACATAGTTCTCTGGATTTCCCTTTCACCACCAGAATTTGAATCATAACTGAAATATAAATAATGTTAGAACCACAATTCTTAAAATTGATTTTTACAAAGTCTTATCAGTAACCCCTGGCTGGCAATATATCGCAAATCCTCTAAGTTTTGTGTTCTGGTGTCTTACCATCAATTGATCTTTAAGCTTATTTGCCACATTATCCTGTGTATAAAAATTAAGTATATAACGTTTGTACCGTTTTGTGCCTACAGCATCTATTTCATCAATAAACACAATTGAAGGAGCATGCTCTTCAGCTACCCTGAATAGTTCACGAACAAGCTTCGGTCCATCTCCCTGCACAAATAAATATTACCATTAATTTTATTTCACCTAATTCGCAAATTAATTCAAAATAGATAAATTAAGTTACCAGGTATTTTTGAATGAGTTCTGAGCCAACAACTCGCAAAAATGTTGCTGAGGTCTGGTTGGCAACAGCTTTGGCTAACAAGGTTTTGCCAGTTCCAGGTGGACCATAGAGAATCACACCCTTTGGAGGCTTGATACCCATCTCTTCATAATACTCCGGGTGAGTAAGTGGTAGCTCTACAGATTCCTGAAAAGTCATTATGTTAGTATCAAATTAATTTACCACAAATATATTTTTTTAAGTTAAACTCACCTTAATTTCCTGTATCTGAGTATCAAGACCTCCAATATCAGCATAGGTCTCCTGTGGTGCCTTCTCCAGCTTCATAACAGAGACCATAGGATCTGTATCATCACCCAACACACCCACTACAGCATGAACCTGACAATAAACATGAAGCTTGTATAAATTGCTAACTTCATCTTATAATTTTACAATCAACAAATACCTATAAATTAAAAAAAAACAATGATAAATTTAATTAAATGATGTTGTTATTAGTAGATACCAAATGTAGATAAAGATTTGATTGTAAAATATATGAATATAAACCACATATAATTAAATATTGCAAACACAACACTAGCTAAATTATAATTTACCTTATGGTTCAAGAGCACTGAGCAACCAGGCTCCAGCTGATCCTTGTCTACAAAGGACAGGATGCTGACATAGTGCTCACTGCCCACAGATGTAGACACAATAGCATGGTTGTCATCAATGATTTCCTCCAAGTTGCCCACTGACATAGGTGTTCCTCTAAGGTCATCCACCTGACATTATACATTCAAAAATTACTATTTACATGCATATTTTCTTAATGTTAAAACAAAATTGTAATGTGCAGTTTAACAATTTGTGTTTTAATGGTCTCATAATTAGCTTTTTTGCACTACATATTCACTTTTTTACTTAAGACAAAGGCAAACAATTTCCCACCTTAGACCTCTCCTCCTCAATTTTTTCCTCCTGAGGCTTCAGCCTTTCTTGATTGCGGATGAATTCTTCCTCCATAAGCAGATAATCCTTGATTCTTTCTAATTTCAACAGCTTCAATCTACACCGAGTGTGTGGTGTCACTTGAGGTAGTTTTAATGCAGCATCAGGACCCTTGGCCTTGCGCTTCTTCTTACCCACCCTGGTAGGGATTGGAGGTTCGTATTTCTTCTTCTTATCCTTGTCATCTTTTTTGTCTCCGCCGCTGCCTCCGCCAGATTGATTCTGACCCTAATAGCCAAACAGAGTTAGTGGATTCTTCTATGACCGAACTCGCAATATTTGAATATAATAACTGTTACAATGTTATTCGCAGTTACTACTTACCATTACGTATTTTAACTAAAATCGAATTTAATATAAAAATCTAACTTATTTCGATCAAAATCAATGACTATGACTTCAGATACCGATGATTACAAAGCGGAATTTGTGGAACCACAGATGTTATAAAAATGTTGTCGTTCTCTTTGACTTTGATTAGAGTAGTCTCAATACTATTTGAATTCGAGTTTATTCGACTGAGGTCCACTCAAGGTCCACTTTACTTTTATATGGATTCAGATTGTTTTAAATACCTAATTACACATCGATCACTAATAAAGAACTTTTCTTAGGTAGTTCTTTATTAGTGATCGATGTAATTACACCTTGTACCCGATGTATCAAATATACGATATTTATTAAGTTATTATTAAAATATCGTTTTGTTAGTGTTAGTATAATCCTCCTCCTCCTTTAAACAAGTTTCGCCTTTATGAACACAACAGTTAGATTTTAATTTTATGTAGAATTAAATTATATTTTTTCGTATCATATCAGTATGTTCAAAAATACTCTTGCCAAAACGTGCAATCAAACTTTTAGTTCAAGAATTTTAAAATTGTCTTACAATTAAAATCCTTTTGTAAAAAGGATAATAATATTTTCCCTCATTATATTGTAACAAACAAAACGTAACTTGACGTGTCTGAACGTCGTGTACGCCTCATGTCATTTTAAGGTTTTTGTCGTGTAGAGAGAGAAATACTTACGAAGTGGTGTTGTGAATTTTTAATAAATTATCTAAAACGTGCGGTTATTTGTTACTTTTATAAGAATGATATCCTAAAATGTATTTGAAGTCTTTATATTTCAGGCTTTATTTTTGTTAAAAACACTTTTTGTCTCAACAGCTGATGTCAAACATTTGGCAATAATCATAATATTGTAACCAAGATTAAATAGTTTCCAAGATGGTTTTAGCGGATTTAGGTCGCAAGATTACTACTGCTTTGCAGTCTTTAAGCAGAGCTACCATCATAAATGAAGATGTATGTTGTTAATTATATATTTATTCAAAAATATATTTGGATTCTTTACGCTTGAACAAGTGATCATTGTTAAATAAATCATTTCCAGGTTTTAAATTCTATGCTAAAACAAATTTGCGCTGCTCTTCTGGAAGCTGATGTGAATATTCGTTTAGTGAAGAATCTCCGTGAAAATGTTCGCGCGGTCATCGACTTTGACGAAATGGCTGGTGGTCTCAACAAAAGACGGATGATTCAGTCAGCAGTGTTTAAGGAACTGGTCAAGGTATAAAATACGAATTACAATATTCTACGAGAAATTATTGAATGAAATATCAGAAGCCTGTTTCACCACCTGAAGTCCCTGATATACTTATGTTGCCCAGTGCCCTTCATAGAGATGACATTCTCATTCTATATTCATATTGATCTGGTCCCTAGTGGCAATAGAGACATTGTGAAACAGAAATAAATCAAAATAAATCTGATTTTAGAAAAAGTATTATTAAAACGGGAAATGTAAAAATATTGTGATAATTTCAGCTGGTGGATCCAGGAGTGAAACCTTATCAACCAATCAAAGGCAAACCCAATGTCATCATGTTTGTAGGTTTGCAAGGTTCAGGAAAGACCACCACTTGTACAAAACTGGCATACCATTACTTGAGAAAGAATTGGAAATCATGTCTAGTCTGTGCTGACACATTCAGAGCTGGTGCCTATGATCAGGTCAAACAGAATTGTACAAAGGCCAGAATACCTTTCTACGGAAGGTAAGTTCTCTTTATCTTGGACTCTAAAATCATAATTAAGCGAGCAAGTCACTTTTCTTTTCAGAAACTTGTTTTTCTACAATCTCAATATAATTTATATTTTTATTTTGATATTGTACAAAAACCAGTCTCTCAGGGTGCCTTAACCTCCCGGCCACCACAACAAAATCAACATTAGTGTGATTCCTAGAATTTTACTATAAGATTGATCCATAATAATGTATCCTTTTCAGTTATACAGAGGTTGATCCAGTAGTGATAGCAACTACTGGTGTGGAAATGTTCAAGAAGGAAGGGTTTGAGATGATTATTGTGGATACTAGTGGTCGTCACAAACAGGAAGAATCATTGTTTGAAGAGATGTTGGCTGTTGCTAATGCCATTGTAAGTTTTTTCCCCTTAGGCTGGGATTCTTTTGAGGAGATGGGATGTGCTGTGCTTCACATGGCTTAAAATCCATTCTCGACATATCTTATTTATTATTTTTTTATTGCTTTAGCTCTTTTTGCATAAAATACAGTTTTGAATAGTTGTATATTGTTATAGGCAGCAAAATTTTGTTCAAATTAATTAGATAAAATAATTTTAAATGCACCTGTACCTTAATCATTTGGCTTGCTTACTTTTTACAGAAACCAGATAACATAATATTTGTGATGGATGCAGCAATTGGTCAGGCTTGTGAAGCCCAAGCCAGAGCATTCAAAGATAGGGTAGACATTGGTTCAGTTATCATTACAAAATTAGATGGACATGCCAAGGGAGGTGGTGCATTGTCAGCGTAAGTTGCTGGATTAAAATATCTTTCTATTTACTTAAAATGCTTAGATGGCATTCTGGAATGGTCAACTGATTCCAAGACATGTTACAATAGGTTTAAATAAATGCAAAAATATAGAAACATTTATTTTAAGATATGGGTTAATAAACAATTTGTTCTTTTTTAGTGTTGCTGCCACACAGAGTCCTATCATCTTCATTGGTACTGGAGAACACATTGATGACCTGGAACCATTTAAAACAAAACCTTTCATCAATAAACTACTTGGCATGGGAGACATTGAAGGTCTTTTGGATAAAGTAAATGAGCTCAAACTTGATGATAATGATGAATTATTAGAAAAACTCAAACATGGACAGTTTTCATTGCGTGCTATGTATGAACAGTTCCAGAACATTATGAAAATGGGACCTTTTTCACAAATTATGGTAGGTTATGATCTAAAAATTAGTTTTTATTGTTATTGAGTTAACAATCCGTTTACCAAAAATATTTACGCTTTCAACAGGGCATGATCCCAGGATTCTCTCAGGATCTAATGTCAAAAGGCAGTGAACAGGAATCAATGGCTAAACTGAAACGTCTTATGACCATTATGGACTCTATGAATGAAGGAGAGCTTGATCATCGTGACGGCGCCAAGCTTTTCTCCAAACAACCCACCAGAATCACACGAGTCGCACAAGGCGCGGGTGTCACAGAAAGAGATGTTAAAGATTTAATTGCACAGTACACAAAGTTTGCAGCAGTTGTGAAAAAGATGGGTGGTATCAAAGGATTATTCAAAGGAGGTGACATGGCAAAGAATGTCAATCAAACTCAAATGGTCAAACTGAACCAACAGATGGCAAAAATGATGGACCCACGCATCTTACAGCAGATGGGTGGCATGACTGGGCTCCATAACATGATGAGACAATTGCAACAAGGCTCCAGTGGGATGAATAGTTTAATGGGTGGCAAATGACACTAGCTTTAGATTCTGCCATAAGCCAATCCAATGTTTGTAATTATTAAAATGTATTTTAACCAATAAAGGTGGATAATTGTATTTTTTTTCTGTTTAAGTATCTAAGAACTTTGTTATGATGTTGACATTTTAGTTTCATACACCATAATTGAAATCATTTTTATTTTACAATAACAGATAATATACCGATTCGTTTACGATTATAATCGGCGTTTCATTTTACATGGAAACTAGCTATAACTTAGATGTTGGTAGCAACAGTTCAGATGAGTGAAAAATTTTAGAATCTCTGGAAACTGCTCTCTGCTCCTTTTAATTTGACCCGAATATGTAAGTTATGCCTTTTTTTAACTAATGTTGCCCCGGTTGATGTCTCTGGTCTGTTTTCGTTTTTGTGTGAGTCACAATTATCGAATGACTTCTTCAGCCCAGGGTCGGGGCGCCCGACCCTGAGTACTGACCGGTACTGACCGGCGGGTGGGACTCTGAGTAATCTATATCTCTGTATCTATACTAATATTATATAAAGAGGTAAAATTTGTAAGTTTGTATGTAGGGACTTTGGAACCGCTGGTCGGATTGCCAAAATTATTTAACTGATAGATAGCTAAAATATTCCTGTGTGATATAGGCTATATAACATCACGCTACGATCAAATGGAGCTGAGCAACAGCTGGTGAAACTGCGTGAGAGTAGCTAGTGCTGACTGCAATGAGGCCGCGGTGCCTCATTGCGCTTACCCAGCAACCCCGGAACATCAGCCCTATTATAGGGTTCCGTCTGTATCGGCCTATTAACATTTTTCGCGGAACGCAACGCGATGTACGCTCGGGACGGGTGCTTACTCGCCGTCGGCATAGCCGGGCAATGAAGGTTTTCTGGGATCCTATGAAGGTATTTTGGGGGATGAGCCTCCGACCAGAGTTTGCTGTCAAAAATCATAAGGGTAGGTACTGGATGTGTCTTTTGTCTCGAGGACTGCCCGACTGTTGTGTTTGTGTCGGGATTTTTGTACCTGTTCTAATTCAAGATGTTATATCCCGATGTAGATTGGATGTGATTGGTGTTGTTGCTGCGTGTTATGCGGTAGATGTCGCTACAACACAAATAATTACCTTGATATGGTGTACGTCGGACTTTAAACTGCACTCAGCACCAAGAACTTACTTTTAACTCCTTTTTATTAATCAAAGCAGGAGCATAAACAACATTACCTTATTGACTTAGTAAAGCTTTTTTGTACTTTTGGCTGTATTATTTGTATTCTGTAGAAGATAATTATATTATGGCTGAACGGTTGGCGCGGAGGCTGTGCTACTGGCTGCGGCGCAACGTATCACAGGTTCGATTCCAGTTCGGAATAACTCTTTGTGTGATCCACAATTTGTTGTTCCGGGTCTGGGCGTGATGTGTATGTGAATTATTAAGTTTGTAAACGCTCCCACAACAAGAGAGAAAGTGTACGGGTGCGACGAGGTTTTCGATGGATCGTGTCGTGTCTAAAGCCTAAAGGTGGAAATACATTCCTGTGTCGTGACGTCTCGCGCAAGAACCCAATCGCTTACCAATACAATAAATAAATTAAAGACAAACATGCGTAACATGCCGTGTTATGTTTTGCCGCTTGTTGTCAATTAGGTGAAACTAGGAAGTTGTGGCACGAGGCGACACTCCATTCCGTGCTAATATATAATTCCTTTGTTCTAGAAAAGAAAAAATCTATTAGAAATGACAAATCAATTGTCAGTCAGTTGACATAACGTATGTCACGTTTGACATATTTTTGTAACATTTTTACATTGAGATAGAAAATATATAGAGGCGCCGTGTTACTATAGAAGTATACATGCTTATACAAATATGAGGGAAATATGAAACAAACTATGAAATATCATTTTTTCTCACTCTTTCTAAAGCAATAATTGTATTAGACAAAAGAGACAACAATATTTAAGTTGTTGCTTAATATGGAAACAAATCATTTTGACATTAGCAAAGTTGTAGGTAAGTGCCATGTCCGCCATTTTAAGCGCTCAGAGTACCTGAGTTTCATGGTAGTTGTCCTGTCAAACGGTTGTTTATGTTTTAAATTATTGCGGTTTTTCAGTAAATTACAAAGAACCATTTCTTTAAACTTCAAATATATATAGTGAAACAAAAAAACAATATGCCTGTGTGTTGTATTGTGCAGTGTGGTACAAAAAAGAACGAAAATCAACCTCAATTGTCTTTGTATAGGTTAGTAAACAGTTTTCATCAAATATTACTTAGAATAATCCACATAGATAGAAAAAAATGTCACGGATACTTTAATCTATTGCCAAAGTATATATATTTACTTTTATTTCTGTCTGTGAGACAGTTTTAGTAAAAAATTGTTGTTTACAATAATATGTCAATATGGCATAGTTACGTACCATTTCACAAAAGTATCGATATAATCTCCCATTTAAAATTCAACATATATTATACTAAATAATCTATTTTAACAATGGATGTTTCCGCAGTTTTGTGTAACGCTAAAGTAAGACGTCAGTATTTTGGTATTGGTTTTAGTTACATAAGTAGAAGTTCAAATTATCATGTTTTATAATTATACGGGCGCGATTGACAGAGCGGCGTTGGCGACGATCCCAGTGCGACCACCAAGCGTAATAATAAAAAGTGAGATACATACAATAAGATTGACTTCACTACATATCTATTTTGTGCTAACGTAGTTTCGAAGATATCATCGCTTAATCAGACGCGCCGAAATTGTGCGCGAGCACTTCACAAATACCCACAGGTTTTCCACATATATAAAGATAAACATTTAACAAACACTATCTTTTTCTATTTCACCATTCCATTAAACGCTGTTCATAAACACAGTCCTATTTTTTTAAAAGACGCTTTACGTAGAATTATATGAATACAAATTCGACTTAAGAAAATCATTAGCCAATCAAGAGACCAAGTTAATCCCGGGTTCCGGGTTCTAGCTAGGCCGACGGCAAAGTAGGAACAGGAGTTGATTTTAGTCAGTAACGGTCTGTCCCGAAAAAGGCCGGAGATGACATTAAATGATTTCCCATAAAAAATACCGTTAATCAGCTGGCTAATCCCTAAAACTATACCTATGTAGAACTTTTACTCAAATTATATCGATACTCGTTAAATACTTAGTCGGCACAACCCTAGCAACGGCAGCCATCTTATGCGACATTTTGGATTGTAGGTAGGCACCTTCTTTTCGTAGGTATTTCAAGTCCATATATTTCCTATGTCAATGCATTTTTACTAAAATTCAGAGGTGTCTTGTCTGGGATCAGAATCAGAATAGGTTATTGAAAAACGTTTTTAGTAACGTAATGTACACTATTTGCCTAGAAATAATTAAGCTTGGTAGATACTCTCCAAAAAGGGTAATTATTTTAGGTCACAAAACAATCTAGGTTATGTAGTATCTTAGAAATAAATTTTATGAGGCAAATTATCATTTAAACTTTCGAAATTGGATTGTTTCATAAATCTTTGTGCGGAAGTAAACATAATTTATAACTTTCAGGCATTATCAACATTAAATAAGAGTAGGATTTTACGCCGCAGTACTCGGTCGAAAATGGATGAAGAATTAAAAAGTCGTGAGAATCCGGTCGTGCTACGTCTTGATTCGTCAGAATTTCAGAACATCTTTACCCCAGAAGTTATAACATTAAAGAATATCTTCGATAAATACAAATATGAAATAAGAATAGCTGGTGGTGCAGTAAGGTAGTAGTAGATATTATTATTGTTCCATGACAATTTTATTATTGATCATGTTGTGTAGGTCTATCAAATCAAGCATGAGCTAATCTATCCCTTTGCTAAATTCAGCCATTCTTTAGACTGTCTAAAACCCAATAAATGTGATCACTAATATTCCAGGCTAAATTCTACAACCCAAATAAAGAAAATATTAATAGTGTACTTTCAGCTGAACTTAATGACTATTTAAATAGGGGTTTTAAAATGCTTTGCAGTTTGGTGGTCCTACTCCACAGTAATTATTATACTTACACAAAAGTCATTGATGTTTAATCATTAATGTTAATCATGTTATGACATTGTTTTATTGCTAAATTGATAGATAGTAGAATGTATTTTTGAATGATGGAGTTGTAATGCTTACTTAATTCTTAGATAGACGGTGGCATGAGCATTGGAAGGTTGATCCCACATAACAACTTGTTATTATTGTCCTTGAGGTCATTTAATTTTTTTCCTATATATTATAGGTATTATTCATACATAATGTAACTAAGTATTAAATTGTGAAACCTATTGTAAAAGAGTATTCATGGTATTTTTTGCTTGCTCCATAGGAATATATACTTAGGAACAAGCAAAAATATTCACTTGAGAACTGATCAACAGACTGACACTATTCAACATTAACACATTCTCACTGACCACTTTTTTCAGATGTTAATGACTATTTGTTGTTAGTTGAGACTGTTTATTTTGTGGTGGCCTGGAGGTTAAGGAGCCCGCGTCTCATGCATTAGGGTGTGGTTTCAAAACCTGGCTAGTACCAATGGGACTTTTTTCGAGTTATATGAACTTACTATGATTATTTAGACGCCACTGAGATATAGTGAAGGTAAACGGGGATGAGGAGGTATAGGGAAACCTGGACTTATAATTTCTAATGATTAGTTTGAAATTGCCAACCCCCATTCAGCAAGTGTGGGGGTGAGCACTGATGAGCAAGAGATCTTTGCTCAGCAGTGGTCACTTATAGGCTGATGATGATGATGATGATGATTGATTTTATTATCAAACTAATGACAAATTTGCTCCAAAAAGGGTGCTATTTCCTGATTAGTACCTGATTACATTACAAAAATTATTAGATAATTAGTTTTTTTTTATTGTGGGTTTGTTTTCAAACATACACAACACACCCAGACCCGGAACAACAATTTGTGGATCACACTAAGTGTTGTTCTGTGCGGGAATCGAACCTGCGACACGTTGCACAGCAGCTAGTTGCCCAGCCACCGCACCAACCAGTGCAGTCAGTATTGATTCTGATGAATCATTCTACCCATTCACATGTGATGCTATGACCAAGAAAAAATTGGATTTGTTTTATTTATATGATTATTTTTTTGTGTGATGCCAAAAAGATGGCAAAAACAATTGTTCTTATAATATGAAATTTCGACAGGGACCTCCTGATAGGTCTAAATCCAAAAGATCTTGATTTTGCAACAACAGCAACACCTCAACAGATGAAAGAAATGTTTACTTCCGAAAATATTAGAATGATTAACGCTAATGGAGAGAGACATGGTACCATTACTGCTAGAATTAATGATAAGGAAAGTTTTGAGGTGTCCACACTGAGGATAGATGTACTCACTGATGGACGCCATGCAGAAGTTGAATTCACAACAGATTGGAAACTTGATGCTAACAGGAGAGACCTTACAATTAATTCTATGTTTCTTGGTAAGCAGTAGTTTTTTTATTGTTGTTTATTTTAGTTAAAGTGATTTATATTCACATTATCTAGCGACCTGCCCTGGCTTTTCACGCTACACAGATGTTATTTATTATCTATATACCAATACTTACCAATATTATAAAGTGGTAAAAAAATTTAATTCTAAGTTTGTATGTAGGGGGTGACCTTTGGAACCGCTGGTCGGATTACCACAATGCTTTTTTGAGCGCTATACAGGATACAAAACGTCATGCTACGATCAAATGAATACCAAGTAGCGGGTGAAACTACGCGAGAGAAGCCACGAAATAATATTCATCCTTTTTGACACTATCTATTAAAAACAGCATCAAAATTCGTACAGAAGTTTTAAAGATATGAATGATAAAAAGTTTTTTTCGATTCTATTTGTATGTACCTACCTGCATTCTTAGCAAATAAACTCTTTTTCTATTCTATTCTTAAAAGCATAGGTACCTATGAATATATATGCACACGGAACGCGACTTTGTTTTATTTAAACTATGTAGTGATTATCATCTTCTAGGTTTTGATGGTTCAGTGTACGATTATTTCTTTGGCTACGAAGATTTAAAAAAGCGAAGGATTGTCTTTGTTGGTGACCCTGACAGAAGAGTTAAAGAGGATTATCTAAGAATAATGAGATATTTCCGTTTCTATGGAAAAATAGCAGATAAACCTGACAACCATGAGGAAAATACTCTACGAGTTTTGAAAGACAATGTAATAGGCCTTCAAAACATATCTGGTGAAAGAATTTGGGTGGAGTTGAAAAAGATGTTGCAGGGTAACTTTGCTGGTAATTTATTGAAGACTATGATTGATGTTGGTGTTGGAAAATACATAGGTAAATATTTATTTTGTGTAATAATATAAACTTAGCAAAGTAAGCTAGTAATTATTAAATAATAAAAAACTCTTGACTCTACAGGTTTACCAGTGTCTCCAAATGTAGAGGAACTGGATAGGCTGGTCAAAAGAACTGAACACCTTAGCTTGCATCCAATTTCCTATTTGGCAGCACTCCTCAGAGATCTGGATGATGTCACTGTTCTCTACAATAGGCTCAAGTTTTCTGGTTATGATAGAGATCTTGCATACTTCTTGGTGGAACACAGGGGAGACAAGGAAGGCAGCAGACCATTATTGTAAGTTAATTTATCAATAATGTGTAAGTTATTGATAATAAATAATGTCTAACTTTGTTATTTGTGTTTTAGGCCATATGAAAAATTAGTATTGAATTCCAAAATAAAACAAAAGGATGCAATTGAATATGTAAAGGAAGTATTAAAATACAGAGGAGATAAACTCTTTGATCAGTTCAATGAATGGGTAGTGCCGAGGTTCCCAATTAGTGGCAAAGTTTTAAAAGAAGCAGGAGTCCCACCTGGAAAAATGTATGGGCCTATCATTAGTAAAATCAAGGATATATGGATTGAAAGTAATTATAAACTAGCAGAAGAAGAGTTAATTAAATACATCCCAGGCATTATAGAGGAATTTGATAAAAATAAAGTGAAAGCATAAAATATTAAAATGTTTCATTACTTATTTATTATATTGGATTATATTACATCTGTAATGATTGTATAAATAGGTGCATTTAAGTAAATAATACTTTCAAACATTTTTATTATTTGGGGGTTTATATGGTTCATATCTATCACAGCCATCATCATCATCCTTGTGGTCTAAAAAGCATCTCTTGCAAAACAGATACCGGCATCCAAGGCACCTCATCCTAGCATCTTCATTGCAAATCTCACAAAATGGTAGTTCATCACATGGGGGAATCTCATCTTCTAAAGTTGTCTCTTTCTTAATCTGCAAAAGGATTTAAGTTTTTTGGAGTGAGAGCTTTGAATACACTCCAATAAGGTTTTAGTCTTGTTGGAGTGGCAGACTGATGCATTATAGAGTACATACTTGTAAAACAAGTTTTGTCCTACCAAACGTTTTTTTATATACCTTTTCAATAATTTTTTTGACAGTAGCTTCCTCATCCTCTGATTCATCACTTTTCTCTTCAGGTTTGCTGTGTGTTGCTGGAGCAGGTTCTGATCCTTTAAGTTTTTGTACCCGAGACTCAATACTGCTGATAATTCCATCAAATTCATCTTGGTACTTAGTATCTATGCCAGTTTGTTCTATGTATTGTTTTACTAAGTCATCTGCTTGCTCTTGCTCTGTTCTTGTGTCAAGTGGTGGTAATGTGGGCTGAAACAAAAAAAAAAAATATTATTATAAATCTCACTATTTGACAAAATATGACAGAATGTATGTAAACAGTACATATTAGTAAAGTAACAAATTGTTTCAAAAGTTTCTTTCTACCTTGCTAAGTTACCTTAGCATTAACAACTTCAACAGGGACTCCTCTTAATTTAGCCAGTCTGGAATATATCTCTGCATCTGAAGTAGTAGGCACTGCACCTTTGATATTCTGAAGACGGTTTCTTATTTCTTCATCTTTAGTCACAGGTGTACTTTTTCCTTCTTTTAACTTTTGTAATCTTTCTAATATTTCTTGGTTTGCTTGTTTTTCGCCTGTGGCACCTATTCTCCTGAATTATAATAGATGTAGATATTATTATTTTTCTAAATTGGTAAGATTAAATAGTAGTTATAGTAAACTTAAAAAATAATATTTACCTATAGTATGCATCAGGTGCTTCAACTGTTTTAGATTCACTCGGTTTGGCATTGTTGTTTTTACATTTTGCGCATACCTACAGAGAGATAAATTTATTTGATAAATGTGAGTATTGAGGGTATGTTAGAGCTATTCTTTAACATCAATGGGCCAGCTTGATTCGAATTATACTATCACTTGCATTATGTTTTGCAAGTGCATGCTTCAATTTCCAACATCCCACAAAAGTCCAGAATCATACTAGTGGTCAGTGAGTAGCCTTAGAGACGGGTCTGTATAAGTAACAGTGGTCTCATCATTTTAAGAGATATTTATAGCTGTATGAGTAATGCAGTTTCATTTTACCTATATTTGACTCACCTTGGCTTCTGCATTCAATTTGGATACGAACATTTTGCTGTCTAAACATTTTGAGCAGTAGCTGAAGCCGCAACTGGGACATCCTTTCTGAAAAACATTTAGATTGGATAAAATTTACTAAAGTTATTGCCAGTCAAAATTTGTCTTAAGAAGTACCTATTGTAAGAAAATAAATACCTCTTTGCGAAGCAAGGAGAACGGTTTTGTGCAAGAATTACAAGACATTTTTACAGGAATATTATTATAAAGTTGCACAGTGGCTTAATATGGCCTTTTCCCTTATAAATATGTAGTACACTATTTAGCCTTTTATTTTGTACCTATTTTATCAATTCCATTGGCCTTACTAAAATAAACTGAGTGGTGTAGCTATCTTTTTTTTATGGAACAGGCTGAAACACACTATTAAAATTGAGTAATATTAATAGAGTTGGTAAACAGTGATAATATCCTTCAATTTATACAAAGCAGTAAGTATATTGGATAATAAACTTAAATTGATATAAATTCATTTAGTACTGGGACACAAAATGAAAAATAATAAAAATTCAATTTTCCACAATAGACCACAGAACATATATACTCTAAAGGAGACATAGACTATACAATATATACTGAGAATCAATATTTCAAAAACAAAAAATAGAAAATAAATAAGATCAATGTTTAGACCTGGCCGATATAAATTGTATATAGTCCAATGTCATTTGTTGATACAATAATTTCAAATCAGGTCGCATTCACATGATTTGAGTGTAAAAAAGCTAATAATTCTTTAAATCAGCATAAACAAGGATTTTCTCTAGTGTCATGAGTGCGTTTAAAAACATACATTTTTATGTACACATCGCTAAGTGTTATTATAATAATAAATCACTGTGCTGTTTTTTCATGATTGATTAAGTAGGTACCTACCTAACCGCTGAAATTACAGTGCTTGATAGGTTTAAACTTATCTGTGGTTATGGTGGATGTCAGATTAGATAACCCGCCGCCTAGAAGATCTACTATGTGATCCAAAGTGTTTAGTGCCGTTATACAATTTCATTAAAAATACTCTGGAAAGTATATAATAACATAAAACCGAGTAAATTAAAAGACTTGGCTTAAAGGACTCGTATCCAGGCCATAAACTCCAAAAAAAAAAAAAAAATCAGATTAGATAACATGTCATTGTCATTCCTATGCTAAGTTTGGATTTCTCATGGATTTGTTGTGTTATTGTTTACATCTGTTTTCATTTTATTAACAAAACAAGATGCATCTCCGAAATTTATTGCCTTCTAATTTATATGACGTAGTTGATAGAGCTGGTATATCCACTGAAAGACAAATTATTCTTTTGTCAATTTGGGATATCAAAAAGTGCACGAATTTGAGTTTAGATGATATCTTGTTGCTCAAAAATATTGTGACTGAATACATAAGCCCTGCGGTTTATACGGGTAACGAAGAACTGAAGAAGTTTAATTGTACTAAATTAGGAGTGACAACAGGTTGTGCTGGAATAGATCATCTGCTGGCAGGTGGCTTACGTAGAGGTACATTAACAGAAGTTTATGGTGAAAGTGCTAGTGGAAAGACCCAGTTGGGTCTACAAGTAACACTTACTAACTGGGCTCAGGGCTGTGTTTACATTTGCACTGAAGATTTGTTCCCAACCAAAAGATTTGAACAAATGAAAATGTCGCTTCCACAGTTTGATTCAAGAATTGACTATGGGAAAAATATCTTTGTGGAACATATAACAGAAGCAAGCTTTTTATTGTCTTGTTTAAGGGTTAGGTTGCCCAAATTGCTAGAGCAGCATAAATTAGCTCTTATTGTTATTGATTCTGTAGCAGCACCATTTAGATGTGAAAGTAATAACTATGTAAAGAGAGCTGAAGATTTAAGAGAAGTTGCTATACTTTTAACATCAATGGCTCAAAAGTTTAACTTGGCCATTCTATGTATAAACCAAGTCACAACATCATTTGAAGACTCCAGCAGTGTATTTCCAGCTTTAGGTCTGGCATGGTCTAACATGGTTACCACCAGACTTATGTTAAAGAAGACTTCAAATATATTAGATGATAAAAGTCTAGCAAAATTGAGTAATCAACAGATCACTTGTAATTATGAAACTTATGTTAGGGAACTGCAAGTAATTTTTGCACCTCATTTATCCAATAGTATTACACAATTTATTATTACAGCTGGTGGTATTCAGGACATTTTATAGTAAATTAAAAAACATACACAACAACACTTTCCAACCTTGTTTTATTGTAGCGTTTAAAAAGATAATAATTACATCTCTTACCAAAAAACCTAGGCAACATTCAGATAAAATTTTAGATGTCTTAAAATACCATGTGACTTGTTTTAGAAGCACTACAGGCCCATGTCCCTGTGTATATTTACTGTATTTATTTTAATTTAACAAGTTATTACATTTAGTAAATTATAACAATGAAAAGTTGGGTACACCATACACAGTGTGTTATAAAAAAATTCATACTACAAGTTATGTTATTAGATATCACAGTTTTGCAAGTAACTTATATGTAAAACTAGTTAAATTAGTAATGTTACTGTAACATTACGGAATGCAATAAACATTTGAATTTAAATTTACTAAGGTATCTACGCCTCTGAAATTTTCGATGTTTGGTAGTAGCTAAGTACCTTTCTACCTTTAATTAGAGGATTCTGTGGGGGTATAAATAGAGTTTACCTTTTACATCACTAAATAGTATAAAACAAAGTGACTTTGTCTGTCCCTTTAACTTTATGTTCGCTTAAATCGTTTAAGCTACGCAACGGATTTTGATTCAGTTCCTTTTTAAACACAGAGTGATTGAAGGGTAAGGTTTATATGGATAGTAATATTCAGTACGTGAATCATTAGTCAAGAAATTTAGTACCAGCTTTGTACCTGTGGGCAGCCGGGAGGAGTCGCAAGTGCTAATAATAAAGTACCGCGACCTCGACTCAGGACAATCAAGGAACGGGGTGGCTTTTAGGCATTAAGACTTCGACTCACCCTGGCGCCTCACGCTCAAAAGGCTAAGGTTCTAAAGATGTTATGTCAGAATTAATCAGCTGACAATGACAACTTGATTTGACATTGACAAACCTTGACATCACCCTAATGTTTCATTTTTCAAACATTTATTTAACATAAAACTGAATGTATGAATATCGAGTCAAATAATGGTTTTGTTAATAATTTTAGAATAATCTCCGACATTAATATAACGCATTTCCATTAATATTCAATATCTAACCTCAACCAATGTTGATAAACCGCTATTTGTTAGGTAGCATTCGCTCTATAGCGATACACTTTCACCCCGCAGGGTCGAAGCCTGCGCTCAATACCAGTCGGACCACCGCGCGATACGCTAGTGTTTCGTCAGCCTCGCCCAATAGAAGGAAAATGGTGCGTTATTATTATTAAGCGTACGTTACTTGTGACTAGAACGTAATTGAATTGTAAGTATTTTATGTTTTTGCAGGCAGATAAATTGACTCAGGAAGAGCGCGACAGTCAGCTCCAGCCACTGCTGCAGTCTGGTTGGAAAGTACAAAACAACCGGGATGCAATTGAGAAAGAATTTCAATTCAAGGATTTCAATCAGGCTTTTGGTTTCATGACCAGAGTAGCACTGCTGGCTGAGAAAATGGACCATCACCCAGAATGGTTTAATGTGTATAATAAACTGCAAGTGAGTAGTTGCCATGTTAATGCAGGTAGTAACATATTGAACATATTGTTAACTAATACTCACTACATGTTTTGATAAAATTATTGATATTTACCTTCTTCATATTTTAAGTGTTGATCATAAGTTAATGCACCTAAAAGTAAGTTATAAATTAGTTTCAGTGATTAAGTTGTGAAATGACATCAGATACAGATTTAAGATAAAATCAAACAATATAAAAGTTAGCCATTAGTTATCGAATATTGAATAGGTTAATATTATTTGTCTTTTTTATTTATTTAATACCACTAACTAAGATGAATTATTTCAGGTCACCCTGTCTTCTCATGATGTCAATGGTTTAAGTAAGAGAGACATCAGAATGGCAACATTTATGGACAAAAACTACAGCACTTAGGTTAATGAACATGATTATGCAGATGATAAATATTTACATATAATGTACTCTTAATCTGAAGATATTATATAAAAACCTACTTTTTATATTATGTTGCTCATTGTATTTATGTGCTGTGTGAGTTTAAGACAATAAATGTTATAATATATTTTTAACAGCATAATAATTTTGTTTTATTATAGTATATTTTATATTATTTGTGTACAGACAGATAGTCTGCAACGTGCCCTGCAACTTTTTAAATTATTATACATTACATATTTGATTCTTAGTACAAGTCTGACACATTTAAAGAGTTTATTTTTAGTTAAAGCAAATTTCCATGTCCATGCCCTTGTCATGTTTGCTATTTTACTTTTACTTTACATGGTCAAACATTTTTATTATGGTCTTACAAGCCACAATAACCAATACGAAATAATATAATGTTACATTATTATGTAGGTACTAAAGTACCATTTTTTTATTGATATATCTAGTAGGTATAGTATTTTAGCAAAACTATTATGGAGATATACAAGGGCTGTGTTCTCACACAGTCCTTGTATAGCTCCATTGTCTTTGTCGGGCACGCTATTATAGCAGCGGTAAGACCCCTCTTTAAGGAGTGGCTTGAGAGACGCACGGCGTCCTCACCTTCCGCCTGACGCAGGTGTTTACCGGGCACGGCAGCTTCGGTAGGTTCCTGTTTCGGATCCAGCGGGAGGAAACGTCATTGTGAGGACCAGCTAGAGGATACGGTGGAGCATACGGTGGCGGTATGCCTGGGCTGAGCACCGCCGTGTCCTCAGAGAAGTGATTGGCGGCGGCGACCTCTCGCGCCCGGCCTTAAGCCCGGTTTCCACCGCGAGCGGAACGGACCCATTAATGACTTCGTTAAACTCGAAAACGCAAACTGCAAACTTGTATTTCCACCAACAAATAGTCGGACGGAAAGAGCCGAGCGTGTAGAAAGAGTAGAAATGATGAGCTCGCTCAGTTCTAGGGAGCGGAGCGGAGTACTTACGGACTCCGCTTAACTCGCAATTACAATTTACATAGTAGCGTTTCCACACAGAAAGTGGTGAGCGGGGCGGATTGAGCGAGTAAAAAGAAATTGAAAAGAGTCCGCTGCGCAAGGCCTGCACAGACTAGCTCAGTCCGCTCATTTCTCTATCTCAGTTTCCTTTTGCAGTGGAAATCAAATGACCAACTCTTCGTTGGTGGAAACGCAAACCTATTACATTAAAAAGGAGCCCGTTCTGCCTAACCATTTTCCGCACATTACCCTTTCGTAGTGGAAACCGGGCTTTAGTCGAGGCCATGGTGCGGAGTGGGACGCCGTCTCCTCCTTCTGTGAAGCAGTTATGGTCGCAAAGAGGGAGGCGGCCCGCGTGAGGGAGCAATCCTCCTCCTCCTCACGCCCCAGCCGCCGCAATAGGCGACATTCCGGGCGTCGGGGATCGAAAGATGATCTCCGGCCACCGTAAGCGCGGGTCTGCGGTCGGCAAGGGCAGCTCGCCGCCCGACCAGAACCAGGCCCGAACGTACAGCGCGTAGCGTTCCGCGCGCGCCTCAAAGAGCCAATAGACCACCACAGACGGGGCCCTATAGGGCTGATGTTCAGCAGGGGTTGCGGGGTAAGCGCAATGAGGCACCGCGACCTCCCGCCCGGTCCTGGGCGGGAGAGAGTCATTTAATGATTTTCCCCTCATAAAAAAAAACCATTGTCTTTGTCGTGCTTTTCGTCCACTAGTTATTCCAATTTTGATCGGTATTTTTCGTGGGACAACTCATCAACACCCGTGAGTTGAACTTGTTGTAAACTGACACTTCCGTGCCTGTCTTCAGACCGGGTCTACTTAAACTAGTGTTTTCTTCTTAGATAATCTTTCCTCAATTACCCACTAGCACTACTGAATGATCTTCTAGTCCTCGTTTTAGAGCTTATTTGCAAAATAAATTGATTGTTTCAATAAATTACGGCACAAATACTCTGTGTGTAAATAACTATCAAACACATAATTTATTAAAATTGGCTCCACTGGACGAGCCAGCCAGTACGACCACCATGAGCGGACAGACCTGCTTAGTCGAAGTCACCCGTCCACAAACATGACGCGTGGGGAAAACAAAACAAAACTTTTACGAGATGCAAAGGACACAATACCATCTAAGTAGCCTATTGCATCTTGCATGGTGATTAGCGAACGAGGCTCTGGCGACCGACTCATGGCGGTATAACCATACAATGTAGGCGTACCTACCTAGAAGAAATCAGCAGAGTAGGGTCAGACAGCAGCGTCACTAGCACGACGAGTTTCGTTCTGCGATCACCAACCCGCCTGTCCAGCGTGGTGATTATGGGCATTATTTCTAATGGCACGCCAAATAAAGAAACGGCCCCCAGTTCCCGGTCGCCCCGCTTTTCTTGGCCAAGTCGGGTAACAGTAAGCTAAGAATCCCCGGGGCTATAAAGGGCGACTTCACCACCTGACTCTGGCTACGTACAAGTTACGGTTCGATGAACACCTGGCACAGTTAGAGGTGGAGCTAGGGAATGTGAGGTGGCATATCCTGGGGTTATGCGAAGTTCGAACACAGTTACACAGTGTAGTCGGAAGAAGGAACCAAAGGGGGTATTTGCTTGGAGTCTTGAAGGATCGTATTCGAAACGAGGTGATCCGACAAAGAACTAATGTTGTCCAAAGGATTAGCAAATTGAAGTGTGAGCAGGTCATATTTGTCAAAGAACCGATGCTCGTTGGAGTAGACGTGTCTAGAGTGGAGACCACGTCTGGGCAAACGTAGTGTAGAGCGCCCTCCAGCTAGGTGGAGGCTGGAGGGTGGAGGGTTAGGCTGCAGTTGACAGAGTTAGGCTGATGATGTTGATGATGACTGTTATTTTTTTTTGTGAAAAAGGTATTCCCGGGCTTCGATGTCCGGGTTGTTCATTTGATTTGACTCAGGCAATTCAGACGTAACTAAACCGGTCATTGCTGTCAAGCAATTCGTTAAGAAACATGCATTTGTTGAAGCTAGTGTGCTTATAGTTATAAAGGTATAACCCAGAGCTCAGGAGGACTTTCTTAGACACAAATTCTACGATATAACATTATCATGTTTCGGAAGAACACAGACCAAACTCATGTAGACAAGTATTAAGGAAACAAGACTAATAAAATTATTATGTTGACTTCTTGTATTGTTAACTTACAATAATGTGTAGATAAAAATTATAAAATGATAGTTTTCTTTTTATTTTCTTGAAGTACATATCTTATTCCTATTTACGTGATTTTCTTTGTGTGACAAGGACAAGTCCTTTTATCATTAAATGGTTCGTTTTCAAAGACGGCGGTACATGGGTAAGCTCGTTCTATAGTCCTTTTCAATTCCAAAGCATGCGCCAAACCTTTTGCCTCGCACACGATTTTCATCTAGGAATGAAACAATATTTATGTAAGTATGTAGGTATATTTTTAAACAATAAGGTATTAGAGCTATTTCTTTTAGATGGGAGAACCACGAATTGTATAGGACATGGAAAACCGGCGTTGTGTGTGCCGCGTGAATTATTCTATTCTTTTCGTGTACCGACTAAAAAAAAAAAATCACATGGGCAGTAACAACTCGGTACCTATTGCGTGAACAAGCGATTACGAATTTGATTGCTTAGGTACTTATTAACAAGGACAACACACACAGGAGTATTAGGTATCGCGGTGTTTACTAATTGTCAGGAAGAAATACAAACATTTAATTGCGTCTAAGTACCTTAAAACGTAATCTTACCTCAACAAAGTATTCCGTCCCATTTGTCCAACTGTTGTCTTGAAAGTGACGATGAATATTATAACCTCCAGATGCGATTAGTGATAATAATTTAGATTTAGATACCGGGTCATTTCTTACACCGACCTAAAAATGCAGGCAATTTATTCACTGCTATGAGTATAGGTTACCTACCTAGGTACCTACGTTCATTAATAACACACACATTCATTAGTATCTACACATCACATCATCAGCCTATAAGTGCCCACTGCTGAGCAAAGGCCTCTTCTCATACGGAGAAGGTTTGTGCATTAATAACCATTTCCTCAAAACAAAATGGTAGGTAATACTTATCAAAATTTAAATTAGAAAATTAAATTATAAGTCCCTTGTTGCCGCACGGTGTGTTAATGGTGTCTATTTATAATCATAGAAAGTACATATAAATCGGAAAAAGTCACATGAGAAGCGGACAACTTAACTGTAGTATGTTTGTTAGTAAACATTTTGTTAATAGCAACAACAATGGATCTTACCCTAAATTTCACTAGTCGTCCTTCGGAGGCTAATCCTCTTTCCATACAGCGATTCAGCAATATATTATCGACATTGCCTCCACTTAGAATACAGACCACACTGCAAGCAACGATAAACATGGTTAGGTAGGTACAATCGACAAATCAATACAATCATATACAATTTATTACAAGTAAGTATACCTATTCATTTCATTATTTACAAGATATCTCTAAATGCGACCTTATTAAAACACTTAATTAAAAACGAAGCTCGAAAGCTAAGTTTAATGTCTTGTGTATCTAAGCAATGGTATATACTTAGGTACATATTATTTAGGTAACAAGTAGGTAGGTATTGTTAGCTTTTGTTAGCGACATTATTGGTGCGAATCGCACATATCTAGATGTATATGGATTGGATGTACCTAGGTATGTAATATGGATTAATTTATAAAACATACTTTTTTAATTTCAATTCTGGAACAAGGTTTCCCATAATAGCGGCCAGTGGGCAGGCTCCAGCGCCCTCTACTATAAACTTTTCTCTCTCTAATAAATGCAGCATTGCGCGTGCGATCCAATCTTCCTTCACAAGCAGCTATAAAAATTAAAGCAGGGTTATATTTAGGACTCATATAAAATACATTCAAAGTTAAAATCATTTATTCCCACTTAACCATAAGTAGGAACGTGTAGTCTGTGAGTCTGTTCGTTAGTGAAGCCGATGCTCGTTCCAAATTGTAGACTGGAATGGAAAAGAACGAGCAAGAAACATCATCGTTACTCTTTTTTAATATGTTTTACAGGTTGCTAATACATTATTTAGGAGACACTGATGTTGAAAACAATGCAGGGAACAAATAAGTATAAATGACGGGATTAATTCCTCATCAATCAATTTCAAATCCTTTGTCGTCTCGAAGACTCGAATATTTAAATAATAAAAAAGAATGATGATGATGTTTAAATGTTTGATGCTACAATTAAGGATTCATTTGTCCTGAGAAATTGAGTAACTACAGACTATATTTGAGTATTGTCCAGTGAAGCCGAACCAACATTGCAGGTTCTGTTCGCATTAAATTATTAGTGTAAATATCAAGTACGTAGTAGCTCTTACCCGAGGCGTCGCTCCCGTCATTTTACTACCTACCCTACTCTACCTACCCTACCCTACTCTGCCTACCCTACCTTACCTACTCCACTCTACCTACCCTACTATGCCTACCCTACTCTACCTAACCTACACTACCTACTTTATCGTATCCTATCCTATGTCCTTCTCCCAGTTCTTAGCTACCTCCCTACGAATTTTCAGCTAAATCGGTGCAGCCGTTCTTGAGTTATAAGAAGTGGAGTAACTAACACGACTTTCTTTTATATGATGTAGATATGAAAAAAAATTACTAACTTCTTTTATATAATTTACAACGTAGCAAGTCTATCAAACATACCATTTTGTCTAGAAGAGGTTTTACGGTGGCGTAAGCATTAGAGCCAACATTGTTGACGCTGATAGCATCAGCCATGTTTGTTTGTAGCGGCAACGAGACTGGTTCGTCACTTTCCAATGAGTTAAAAAATGTAGGCATTTTCTCAGGTTGTACACCCTGCAAATGATGTAATCATTGTTTATTTAAGGCTTTCAGCTTGGCGGAGCGCGTGACGGGACTACCGTCCTCACGCTCCAGTGACTGCATTAGGCTACACTCCGGGTATCGGGGATCGATCAGGTCTGCGGATGGCAAGCTAAGGTAGCTCGTCGCCCGATTAGAACCAGACCCGAGCATACGGCGCGTTGCGATCCACATTCCTCTCAAAGAGCCAATAGACCATAATTTTGTTTGTTTGTACTAACTGTATGTCCTCTATATTACAAATAAATTGATAATATTGTTTACTAAATATAATTTTAAACTGGAAACGGACGAACTTACATAAATTAGTACTGATGGCTTGAGATGTTTGACGACGGTAGCGGTGGCAGCGGCTAGCCCTCCAGAGCCCACCGGTACAATCAGTGCATCTAGACACGGCGTGGTTTCCAATATTTCCAGCGCCATAGAGCCGTACCCAGCTAGGATGTGTGGGTGATCACGTCTTTGCAGTAAAAAGGTGGTTAAGCAAGTATCTAACTAGGGTAGACCATTAATTGTGAATGAAGATATAAAATATCTTACCCATTAATGTACGTGAGTCCCTTGTCCTTCGCCAAAGCGCGCGCATATTTTTGCGCTTCTTGCAAGTTGGATCCTTGCATTATTACCTTCGCTCCATAAATATGACATCTTTGTATCTTTGCTATTGGTATCGATATGGGCAGTATCACAATGACCGGGATATTCATTTTCGACGCGTGGTAGCTCAGGGCTAAAGCTTCGTTACCTGATGATGCCATCACTACTCCTAGCTTTTTCTTGTCCGCTGGCAAAAGCTGCAAGGCATTCAAAATGCCTCGTCCCTTGAAACTACAATAGAATTTAGATGATCAACGACGATATTCAGAGATGAAATACCATTATCAGAGGTAGAATTCTACATACCTTCCCGGTTTTTGCATAAACTCTAATTTATAATGTATGTATATGCCAAATTCACGTTGACTGTGTGCTGCCTGAAAATGAATGGGGAAAATCAACTAATGACGTTATCCACCCTGGGTGGGGCGCGGGGGAATGTCAGACTGATACTGAACAAAATCCACTCCGTTCCCTCTTTCTTTTACATTATTATTCTTTAAGGCAGCTCCGTAGAGTCAGGCCAGAAGTCACTAATAAAATGTTTAGTAGGTACTCACTGTTTGCTAAGGACTCACTTTTATAAGGAGTTGGTGTTATAACAATTTAAGAACTTACCACGATAGGAGTGTTGGCCACGTAAGGCCGTATTCGCTGCGTAGCGTCTACGATATCGTCATACTGGATAATTTTTGGGTTCTCAGGGTCACAACACTCATCACAATCTTCCTAAAAGTAAAATGCTTGTATTTAATTAGAATAGTGGTCAAATGTTAAAAGTGTAATCATATAAAAATACATTTAGGTATACCTTCAACTTATTTAATTGGAAACTAAAACATTTATAACCCAAAAATAATTAAAAACATATCAGGAATAAAAATCACAGGAAGTAGTGTCGTCTTCCGAAGTACCTTAGTTAGAGTAAGAGCAGCCCAAAAAGCGAAAGTCACATATTTAATTTTGAAGAGTCATTGAATTGAATCAGTCACTTGAATTAGTCAGTCAAGATCATTGAAGCACATATTTATTAAGACATCCTTTGAGGAAAAGAAAACTATTATGGAAGTTTCTATTTGAACCTGCTTCATTGAATTTCTTGTTTTTATGGGGGAGGTTTAGTGGAATATGTCTTCAGCTTTTCTACTTTGAAACTTACTTCTCTTGCATAGGAAACCTCACTAAATCCATCTTTACTGGATCTGGTTGTGATCGTCCCTTTCAACTATTCACATCAAAATAACTGTCGCACTTGAAGACAAATAAATAGCTCTTAGTAGTCGTACTTACATTTCTTCTATACATGTTGAGTTGTAAGTGTATATACGCGTGAAGGTATAAACGAAGGATGGTCTGGTAGAAAACTTTAATTTAAATAAACTGATAATTTGGAAATTAATGCATGGCCGTTTGATTGTTGTTTTTGACAGCACTTCTAATTAAACGTCAACATTTGTCATTTTTTAGAAGAAAACGCTATCGCGGTCGAAAAAGGTAGGTACAACCCTGAGGTACAACCCAGAAACAAGAGGAGTGTGGCAAAATCAGATACAGTCGCGAACAGAAATGATAGGTATAGGATAATCATATTATGTAAAAATGAAATGAATGTGTGTGTCTCATTTTCGACTGTTCGCCTTCGGACACTCGTAGGAAACGGTTTCAGCAGATATTTTTTTAACGGAAAATTTCCGTCTATTGCATTATGTTCAATATCTATAGAAATATTGTCTACTGCTTGTTTTCCGTCCGATTTTTCAGACCCTCCACCATCTGAAGCTCTGCCTTGGCATCCTATATTATTATTTATAAGGAAATAGTAATCGTTTCCCACCTATACATACTATTACCACAATGCTCTGCCTTCCTTTATAAATAAAATTTAAAATGTTTAGTGTGTGTGATAAAGCGTGGGAGAGCCAAGCTTCGACACTAATATACATATAAATTCTAAATCCTCAACAGTCAAATTAATAAATTATTCACTGCTAGTAAGTAGTAAAAAGTAGTGTCAAAGCTTCGACATGAATGGGTCGGCTCGACCGGAGTGATACCACAGCCTCACAGGAAACCGGTGTGAGGTTACCGGAGGCCGTCGAAGACAGCGAAATAGTACCGATGATGGAGTGAAGCAACGTTGGCGTTATGTTTCGTGTGAGGTTACTGGAAGCCCGGTCTTTTTTCCCCATCCCCAATCACCAAATCAAAAAACCTCGTATCCCTAAAAACCCGAATAAAAAATCTGCACGTGACCGTCAAAGAATTAGGTTTTATTAGAGTTACACGTAATAAATAAAACAATTTATTTCGTAATAATATTTATTATATTTATTCGTTTTACAAAGATACTGAAAATATTTATATTATATTTAACTGATTGAAATAATTAACACACAAACATATATTTTTTAGTAAATACGTTTTGGGAAGCATGAACAATAGACGATCGGTTTGAAAACTTCTCTATGAAATTCGCACTGGCCAGGAAACAGTTTCTCTAACACATGTCTCAGCAAACAAGCATGCTTGTAGCCTTTGGTTTCGCAGATAATAGTAAGCTGTAAGCAAAATCAGTTTATATTTATTTGATTAATAAGATTGACTTGACTATGTCGTGTGGTAAAAACTTAATTGTCTTGCTCTTTTTTTAATTTAAATTTAAATCTTTTGGTAGTGGTTATGGATGCAATGTGGCGCTAGTCAATTGCAATTCAAGTGTGTAAAAAGTTACAATAACTATGTTGATCCAAACTGTATTCAAGAGCCAGCTGTCGCCAAGTTGTGCCTGTAAGCATTATCCTTATCCCATAGAGGGGCGAAGAGTATGATCCTAATACTTCGACAGCTCTGTACTGATAAATAAAACTATTAAGTAGACGCAACGTATCTTACAGAGTGCTG